TACACACTTCCTTCACATTTACATTTATGTGGCACTAGTATTTTGTGATGCTTCTACATGTTTTTTAAATATAACTATGGTTGTAGTTGAAGAGTTGGTCATTAACATGACCGAAAGCTGTTGCTTGGCAAACTCATCCGACAGTCACGTCGTTAGTTCATATCCACACTTGATCCACAAACATGGATTAACATCGATTTATAACTTAATCGTAAGCCTTTGTTTCTGCTAAAGAAGGTCGACCAGCGGGGAACACCGAAATCGGCGTAATCGGTTGATATTAAAAATGAATCATTAGTCGGGTAGCTTTGCTGCATTTCGGTTATTTCTCCCTGTTAACATGGGTTTAACAATACGTGTACTTATGGTTTGAAAGGACGAAAAATCGTTGACATCTTCACGTCTCCAGCTGGTCAACTCCGTCCTGTTCACGTCTTTGCGTGATACGTTTTTGAATTGTAACTAAGAGTCAGTAGACTTATAGCAGCAGTCCCGAAGAAATATAACAGCAGTCGAAAGAAATATAACAGGCATTCAGTAGTAATCATATAGCAGGCAAACCGGTCTTTACCATAGTTTTTTTTTTAGAAAGTTGATATCTTTGTAAAAAACATGACTTTATTTGTGTGTGTGTTAACTGCGTTTCTGCTCTTCATGCATAATCGTCGAAAGAGGAAGTAAATCTATCTATTAACAGCCTGATATCCGCCTTCTGCTCATTGACGACAGAGGAAAGGCATCTTTGAACACATGGTTCCTCCTTCACTGTGAGTAGAAACAGTTTATTGATGTAATGATTCTGTATACCTCCTGTGAACATTATTTAATCTGACATGTTTTATAGTCTCACAGAGATGAGAGGAGCAGCTATGAGTCTAACTGCAGCAGCGAGTGGATTAGTTGTCTTCCTGCTCTCTGTGTCAGGTACTGTACATCTACACTTACATTCATCACATGAACAGAGGGGATTCTGGGAAATGTGGGACTTGTAAAATCAGGTCACATGTGGGAATAAGTGGGATGGATTTGTGTAAAAGGCAAACCTAGCAGAAACATGTTAAATGTAATTGTGTGTAGAATTTTCACGGTTTTAAGTTTGTGTGTCTGTTAGTGGGTGTTTTTCTGTTCTCCTTGTCATGTTTTCCTCCCTGTATATTGTCTGGTCTTTTTTTCCCTGTGTTTTCCTGTCTGTCGTTAGTTTTCCCTGGTGTGTCTAATTTCCTGATTATTTT